CTTTAATTATATATATATATATATGTTACCGCTAAAGCTCGAAATCCGTTAATGTGCGCATTACCTAGCTAATCTAGGTAATGCGCAGATTAACTAGGGTGATCCGTTAAAGCTGCGAAAATTATTCCATTTCTCAAATTACCTAGGTAATGTTCAGAGTATCTAGGTAATCTGCAAATTACCTACTAGGCACTCGGTAAAGTGAAAATAAGATTTTTGCTGGAACAACAGCAACGTTTCTGTACGCTTAAATTAACATAATGTTATTTATTTAATTTTCAATATCTAAAGAATCAAGTTAATACAATCAACAAATTAGTTGATTGAATCAATCATCAATCAATTAAAAAAACTTTAATACAAAAATCAAACGGTTTAAAATATTACTACAATTAGGGAAATGAATTTGCAAAACATATGATAAAATTGTACTTACTTATTAGTGCAATCTAAAGATTGGTGACACTTTGAATTACGTAGCAATTGGTTTTTGCGACAAGCACGCCTATTTGTGGTACATTTAGATTTGCAGTCACATTTTCTGAAACCCTGCCCAGTACCAAGGGATTGTTTTATTGCTGTTTGACGTAAAGATATTTCTACAGCAGGGACATCCATCTTCTTTCGTTAAAAATCTCTCTTTGCAAACACTGAATTCAGATTTTGCATACAATTGTTTTAAAATACCTGTTTTAGTATCAAGTTTATAAAAGCCATCCTCTGTTTTACTAAGAACCACAGCTAAAATTGAACGTGCATCAGTTTTTGCTCTGTCTTCTTCGGGTACTTTAATTCTCACAGCGAAACCTTCATCGACGTTTGGGTGCTTTGCATTAGAAACTGCTAACATTTTCTTTGCTTGCTTTTCTAAACATTTCTTGGCTTCATCACGCTGTATTTTCTGATCCATATTCTTTTTACAGATGATGCACAATACATTCTTACCATACCCTTCCTCTTTAGGATCTACTTCACCACAAACTGCGTGAACAAACATATTACACGATTTACACTTGTGAGCACTTGATGCTGCTTTTGAGCAAACAATACAGACTATGTCTTGTATAGTGCTCTTTACAGGCTCCGTACGAAACTGTGATGGCGATTCTGCTGAAGTTGAGAGTAACTCAGTGATGACTTCTTCAACTTGCAGAGGCGATTCCTTGGAGGTGCAGGGTAACTGAATATTCTTCGTGACTGCATCATCAATCAACGGTATAGAAGGCAGTTTAAGATTACTATCGGTAAATTCTTGTATTTCTATAGGTGATTCTGTAGAAGCGGGGGATAACGGAATGTCCTCTTGAGTAAGATTTGACTGTGATCTCATAATCACAGTCTCTTGTGAATCTTCTAATTTTTCAAGGTCTTCTTCAGTTTTTATCGAATGTCAAACAATTCTCCGGCATGGACAAACTTTTTCAAACCTTTCTCGCGCATCTGACAACGGCTCAATGAGTTTTTCACAGCCTCGTACAGTCAACACATCACACCTTTGAATTATTTGATAATCTCGAGATGATTCTTTCTTCTTGGAAACTTTTATTTGCTTTACATCTTCAATTATGGAATCATACTTTGGTTTGTTATTAAAACACTACGTATTATATTTTAAATCTTCGCTAAAGAGGTTTGCGAAGAATCTTTTCTTGATTTTACTCACCAATTCGGTGCTTGCTTGCATTCTAGGATTTAAATTTATCTACGTAAAAAGAAGGAGTGGGGAAAGGAAGTGAAAGAAACAAACTTTTGAACTTTAACGATACGGAAGCCGTTAATGTGCAGATTACCTAGATACTCTGCAAATTACCTAGGTAATTTGAGAAATTGAACAATTTTCGCAGCTTTAACGGATCACCCTAGTTAATCTGCAAATTAGCTAGGTAATGTACACATTAACGGATTTCGAGCTTTAGCGGTAACATATATATATATATATGAATATAATCTGAAAAAATAATTCATAGCATTTTCAATTATTGTCGTTAGATGTAAATAAATTTATTTTTTTCTAAAATTTAAAATTTTAACGACTTTGTTTTACTTTTTAAAATTTATTTTCACAATTCCACGAGTGCACAATTTTAATTAGCAATTTTGTCATAAAAATTGTATTGTAAAATATATATAACTACAGTATATATTTATTGATTAGCTAAAATCAATTTTGTACTTTATGACTTTTGTAGTAATGTAGCCCTGAAACTGATAATCGTGCATTCAGTACGAATCACTGAAAACCCGTTGTGTAAACCGTGTTTTTTACACGTTCTGTGTCTCTTGTAAAATTATAAATGAAGATCGATGACAATACGAAGCAATCGTATATAAGAGCCTTAAGCCTATAAAACTATAATTTCCATAATTTATCTCCACGTACATAAACCAAGCAGTGTTAAAGGATTCAAGAGAATCTTTTTTCTATTCCTCTATATGTTTTCAATACTTAATTAAATTACCATCGGCTATGTCATAATTGAAATCGAATACAACACTATTACATCGTCACGGTTATTAAATATCGGTCTACACTTAAAATACAATGCGTTTCATGTAGTAAACATAATTTTTCTATATTCATCAATCAACTATTAAAATGATAATAATCTATGTGCAGTAATTATAATTCTCTATACAACCAGGTATAGACAACTGAAAGGTAATTCGTTCTATTAATATTTATTTTATGCTGCAAATCTCTAGCCGTAAAAATGCAGTAAATTATGCTTAACTTGATATTAACAAGTTATTTGTTGCCATAAATCCATAATCGTACTTTAAGTATACACATAAAAACGTTGTCGCAATAAATAACCGCTTGTTACTTTTGCGATTCCTACGTGTATTGACTTCTTTTCATTCTTTCTTATAATAATAAATTCAACAGATATACGCAACTCTTCGCTTGCCCTTCGTTATTTCCAAACGAATGCAACCCAGAACTCACCACGAGGAGGTGGCTGCGTCAGATTTCCACCAAGAGTTGGAAAGAATGTAAGTGCATACGTAATTAACATCATTTATGGAGTTTCATTCGTTCTAACTCACATTTGAATAACATCTGTTTCAAACTAATTGAATAGTTTAATAATAATTAAACTCTGTACATTTATTAATCACAATCATTTGTACAGTACAATAAACTTACCATATAATTTCTATATAAACTAAGGCGTGCAAGATTATAACTATTGACAATGAAAGTCAGTAAAGATACATTATTATAGTAAAACATACGAACGAATATCGCATGAAATATAAAGCATTTCGAATGCTTCTCGGATCACATTCGAAATATAAATTAGAAATAGAAAACGATAATACTGAATAATTGTAACGATCGTTAACTCGATACAATTGCCCAAAAACTAGGAAAAGTCTGAGCAGTCTCCGACTCCCATGGTGTCTTCTCTCTAGAACTTATGTGAAATTTGAAGGGAAAGATAAAAGACTTCCACTCCGTTTTCGACTTCTTACCTGAAGGAGGAAAAAAACAAAGGTTTTTTTCTCTTCGGCCAACAATTGAGACATTTAACAATGCGTTTTAAGAATTAGTTACTTTCAACAAATACTTGACAGGCGTTACGTCATCACATTAATCGATTTCATTTATTTGGGTTTAAAAATCAAAATGATTTTTTTTTCTAATAAATAGAATTATTAGAATGAAATTTACAGATCTAAAGTCAATACATCCCTAGTAAAACTTTTCTCGTCAGTAAATATAACATTGGTGCAACATTGGAGTCAATGTTGATATTGGTAGGCAAATCCTATAAAATTCATTGAATCACTTTCGGTCAAAAACTCATCAGCGGCTTTTCCTCCGCGCAGATTCGATTCTGTTAATCTAACAAACATAGAAGTAATATAAATTTTTATAAACTATAGATTATAAGTAATTCAGTGGTACCTCGGGATACGAACGCCCCAGCATACGAAATTTTCAAGATACGACATGAAATTCGAACATATTTTTGCTCCATGATACGAACAAAAATTCACCATACGACGTTACATTAGTTCGCAGCGCTACTTTTTATTTACTTCTGTTCATTGGTCTCAGTCCGCGTGTTTGCTTCGTCGTGGAAGAATCTCGCTCAATAAAAGAAATCTTGAGGTATTATCAGAAAGTGACTGATTTTATTGAAAAGAAACATCCCGAAAAGGTTCACAGTGGCCATATTGCTGCTCGGAGTAATGACATTTGTCTAAGTCATTTTAGAAACATTTTAAAAAGTAGGCAAAGCCAAACCTCTTTAAATAGATATTTTACCAAGTGACCTCTATTCAGTGAAAGTGCTGATGGAAGTGAAGGAAAAAAAACAAAAAGCAGTCAATAAAAAATTTAATAAAATATATAAAACAGAAAAGTTAAAAAATTAGTGTTAATTTATTTTAAAGTTGTTAAATTATGTTATGTAATTTAAGTTTTAGTATCATTTCCCTTCTCCCGCCACCAGTTTACACCTCCATCGTCGTCTATCCTCAAAGGTAAAGCGCAAATATAACTACATTTTTTTTTTCTTCTATCAATTATTATTCTATTATGGTTATTTATACATTCACAACTACAAAACGCATTTTGCAGTGTTTTCCTTACTATAGTTATTTTTTTAATGTACTACTTAGCTTTAATTTGAGTGTGTTTTTTTTCTGTTGGAACGAATTATTTGGTTTTACATGTAATCGTATGGGAAAAAATGATTCACCTTACGACATTTTCATGATACGATCTCAGTTTCGGAACGGATTAATTTCGTATCCTGAGGTACCACTGTATTTATTTAAATTTCCATTTATTAAAGATAATTTTACAAAACATTTTGTAAAATTATTTTTACAAAAATATTAAATATTCACATCCACAAAAAGAAACGTTTTAAATACAATTCAAAAATTACAATGAAAATTCAACTTCAAAATTTATTGTTTTTATGTTTAATATGCGGGTTTACATTTTATTGAATATATTTTCAAAGAAATCTAACAACGCGATCATTTTCATACATTTTTATTTTTCAATTTCCTTCATAGAAAGTATCATTTATAATTCTTATGACGTTTAATAATATGATATTTTAAACTAGCTTGAACACGAAACTTTTTTGAGCAATAATTACACGAGAATGGCTTTTCTCCGGTGTGAAGACGAAGATGTCCAATCAGAGTTTCTTTTCGCGTAAAACTCCGTTTACAATAATCACAGGTAAAGGGTTTCTCTCCGGTATGAATCTTGACGTGTTTACTCAAATTGCTGGAATAGTTGAACTGACGATTACAGAATTGGCAAGACAGGAGCCCTTCACCAGTGTGAAACATTCGATGATATCTTAATCCTTTCTTCGAAACGAATTCTTTCTGGCAAATGCCACATCGATACTTCCAATTTATTGTTTCATTACCAGAGAAATCTGTAAAATATAAATAAAAATATCGAAACTCACGATGTATTATTTCAATCAAATATATAAAAATGTAAACTCGAGTGCACTATTTTATAAAGTATTGTTAAAACTTGTGTTTGCAGATAGAAAATAATTTGCATTTTTCTCACAAGTTTTCCTTAAACTAAACTTAACGGGATACAACCTATCGCGATTGCGTCACTACACACATACCAACTACTTTCCGGCGCTTACAATTATTACCAACGATCACAAATTATATAATTTATACATAGAAATATATTTTTCTGGAAACAATTTATACGAAGAATATTATTCAAAAATTATTGGAAAAAAATCTTAAAGTATCTTCATTCGATTTCCACTTTTCCTTTATTTGCAAAAAATGTTTTTTTCTGTATCGTTTTCTCGTATCATTTCTAGCCATTACTCTAATCTTCCGTGAACAGAAGCCGTACGAAATAATTCTTCGAATTGTCTTGCATTTTACAGGAAACAATTCGTCAGTTATTACACGGGTGTTTCTATTGGTCGGCTGTCGATCTGAAATAAAAAGGTTCTCTATGTCATAACATATGAGAAAAACGTAAATTATTTGTTTCTAAATAAAATTAGATAATTTAAAATTACAGCTTCAGCCTGCAATTCTGTAAGTAGGAACGAATTCCAGTCAATTTTAACAAAGAATACCATAAATTTGAAATAAATCGATAAAGTGACATTAAATACAACCTTCAAAGTAATTTATCGGCGACGTTTAGAAACAAGTAGATCGAGTGTTAATGTGTTTTAAAAAGAAGCTACTTCCCTTTCAGTTAAACGTTTTACCTCTTTCATTTCGGAATTAAAAGTTATATAAGCAAATGTTTCTTGTAAAATATGTATTTAAATATACCTTATGAGAAGAAGTAAAAATCTACTTACGTTTTCTTTAGACGAAGATAGAATTTTACTTACGGAGTCCCTATGGAGGCACTTTTGGACAGCACGAGTCTTACAGTAGTTATAGTGGAGATAGAAATCGTCTAAAATTATATCATCACGTATTATGGTTTCTATATTAGGTTTAAGCCACTATATATTTTAGGTAGCGTGTTATAGCCCCCAGAATTAAGTCGCGCCGTTAACACTATGGCGTTTAATTATTTAGTCGACGTGGCTATTCCAGCTTCGAGTAGCCCACTTCACTGTTCATGGAGTAGTTGATGTTATATAATTTTAAAATGTGTGGGGGCAAGCCCAAGCGCGCGACTGGATGCGGAACTCGCTATCGCTAACCTGGATGCCGTAGAATATGAAGAATAGGCAGTGTACTGACACACGTTAAAAACTGACCTTTGGAAGCGAATATCTCGCGAAGGGTCACACGTAGATGTATGGTTGCTTTGACTTTTTTGCTCGCACAAGGGGGTCTACAGTTCGGAAAATCGAAAAACTGACATTTGAGTGCCTTCGGCCCCAAGAAGTCTGAACATTGTAAGAGGAAGCTTGTCGACAAGAGTGTTACAAAACGAAAAAATACCTACAAAGTAAGTTGAATTTACGAAAAAATCGGCCAAACTATGTTCCTTACTGAAGAAGACGAAGAAAAGAAATTAGAAATATGTCAACGGCGAGTGAAATTTGTCTTACTTTGTGAGATTACAACGGTACAGGGTCAATACCCTACCTGCCTCCGACACGTCCAGTTGATAAAACTCGCAAACTTTGTCTTTTGGATGGCTTTTTATCGAGGGGCGAGATGAGAAAGTAGGCAGGTGTCCGTGGTTCGAAATGACAAGAGACAGGTTTAAGAAACACTAAAATGAAGGTTTACTATACGGCTAACACTAAAATACAGGAGGCAACACAGACTTAAATGCATATATCTCTCACATTTTTTCCCCTCTTCAACAGGAGCGAGAAGCAAAAACGAAAACCCGCTATGACTCATCTGATATAGAAAATCCCGTCAGTCTTCAAAGTGATCTTTCGACAGAAATTTTAAAATGCATCGAGAATGTAAAATTCCAATCAACATTTCAATCGGATCACGTTCCGAACAGTCAACTCTGGAATTCATCGAGGGGAAGGGATAGGACTTGAGATCAGCGAACATACCTAAAAGCCAGGGGCGGACTGGCCATGTGGAAAATTCCACATGGGCCGTATAGAATTTGGGCCGTTTTTTCTAAATATGTACAGTACTGTACATAACGTACCGTTTGGTTAAGTTTAATTTTAAAAAATTCATTTATTTTTTTGTTAAGTAAGGTAAATTTCAATTTTTAGGTATAATATAAGTATATGTGTAGGCCTGTATCATTTTACCCGGCCCTACCCGTATCCGAAGTTAAATTAGTTCGGCCGATCTAAGTCAAACACTACATTAGCTCGTTTCGGCCCAAACAGAAAGCATCCTAGGAGAAAAATAATCAAAACTACCTTATAAACAGAGAAAATTGGTCATTTGTTTACATTGCTAGAAACTGTTCACCACTCCTATTAATCTTAATTAATGCTAAAGTATAGAAATGCACGTTATTAGTTTTGTACCTAGCCACCAAAGCGATGATTGTAGTCATAACAAATTTAATGGCCACTTATATTATTTCCTTTATTTTAGGCAAGTAAAATATGTTATTCAATAATAATTTCTCTGTATTCCAAACGATTTAATTAAAAATAATCTATTTTGTAATGTGAGGCCGGGACCCCACCCCCTCCAATGGAAAACTGGTTGTCGAGCTAAAGCTAATAAATCGACGATTTATTTCGTAAACAGGAACGAGTGTAAGACGATTTAATTGTCGCATTTCCGGACCAAATTCACACGTCCTCGATCTACATCAGGGAAGGTGGGAGAGAAAGCAACCGGGGAGAGTTCGACTGTCATCTTACAGCGAGTTCAAAGCACATTAGACCAAAATTTAAGGGACCATCACTAAATATTCCTGAAAACTCATTTCAAAAATTAAGCAGTATTTTAATACAGTTTAATCCAGAATTTTTTTTTATCAATTAAAAGATTAGTTATCTTTTCCCGTGTTTGCGTTACAAACTGATTATATTTTCTACTTAGAAGAAGACTAAATCAAGTATAAATGATGTAAGAGACTTCTAAGAGATTTTGAAATCAGAAAATTGACAGAAAAATTTCAAATTAGCAATTTCAATTTTATTTTCAGAAAACTAGAGCTATGAAAATTCGATAGGTCAAAAATTACGACTATTTTTCAATCACTACGGTTTAAGCTACTCATTTTATTATTTCAGAATTGCAACATTTTAAATCGTCAAGGAATATTTTAAAGAAAAATGTCAATGAAACTTTCATGAAATTAAACGTAAATGAACATTCTACTGATAAAAAACTAGAAACTAATAAAGATGCGATTTTATCCTCTTACTGCATTGCTTGCAAAAATTGCTCTATTTGTTGCTATAATTTATTATTCAGATATAACATTTTAAGTGGCGCTTATTCTATACTTGGTCAAGCATACAAATAGCTGCTATCCATGTCTGTAACACAAGTGTCCGGTGAACAAAGCTTTTCTATGTTAAAATTAATTAAAAGCAGGCTAAGATACTTATAAGTATCTCGCAAGAAAATCTAGAAGCCTTCGTGTTAATGTCAGTAGAGAAGGATTTTTTAAACGAAATACATTCTGATGATGTCATTAATATTATTGCTCAACAAAGCAAACTTTTAAATAAAAAATTAATATTGTAGAATATAGACTTGTGCTTATTGTAATTTTTGTCAATGTTGTATTTTGAATATATTTAAATATAAATAGAAAAAAATACATTTTTTTTATTTGTGGGCTGGGCTGGTAATAAATTTTCCACACAAAAATTTTAGGGCCAGTCCGCCCCTGCTAAAAGCCCTGTAAAAATCCGCCGGCTCACAATTTGAATCCGGTGTATTTAGTTTCTGCGCCATCTTGTTTGTGAACCGAACACAAGATGGCAACCGAAAGTACACCATAAAAGCTCCGTAAGTAAAATTCTATCTTATATTCTATTTGTAAAATGATATGAGAAATTTCGTCTTTTGCTTGAGAAGTTATCCTCCTTCTTCCTCTCGTTCTCCAATATGATCCCGGACAAGATTTTCTTTCGTGTGAGGGCGAAACATTGCAGCCCTGCACACGAAAAAAAAAACCGAAAAGATGTTCTGCAAACTAAAATTCATCGATTAAAACAAGTAAAACTGTTAGAAGAGAGATCACTCCAGTGGCGTAGCGTAGTGTGGGCGGCAGGGGCGGCACTTTTTAGGGTACGGCAAAATTTTACAATAAGTAATAATAACAATATCTTGTAAAAATTTGAACCACTCTAATCTATATTTGCGTCGCGCCTACGATAGTGCTATCGTACGAACAGTCCGGGAATCGACTCACCGTCCGGGTGAACTCGAATTTCATCAAAGGATATCCTGCGCAACTGTTGGCCTTGTGTTTTTTTTTGCTTGTACGATTCATTCGTATTCATGTACATCTCCAATATCGAATACAGCTATTTTACACAGGTCGCTGCACTAGCACGGAATTCTTCATTGCTTCTTCTGTGACAAAACTGAATTTTAGTCTTTTAGATTGAGATACCTAAATAAGGGGTGACGAAATTTTCCTCTATCCCGGGCGGCTGACACCCACGGTACGAAACTGGTTCACTCTTTTGTCTCCAGTTCAATGCTCTTTACATTTTGTCAGAACGAAAAAAAAAAAAAAAACATGTCTTCTCTTTTCTATTATAATGTATAAATATGTCAAAATAATATCTATTAGGATAAGATTAAATTAAAATTTCTAGATGATACATTACCATTCACGGACGTTAATTACTCCATTGCGCTGATCATCGGCGATAGATTGTGGTCTCCAACAGACAGAAAAGTACAACCTTCCATATCGACTTTTCTCTGTAACCAAAGGAGAACGGAAGTACGTCACTAGTAATGAGCTAAGAGTTAAGTACTATACTTATTCATCGTCCATTTTCTCTTCCTTTTTTCCATTCGATCGAAGTAAGGATCAACACGTTTCCTCTCGTTCCTTCCCTGAAAAATTTTGCTTTCGAGAAAACAACTTTAAATCTATTGAATAGTTGCGATGAAAACATACTTTGCCCTTTGTGTACTTCTACGCTGCACTCGTTAAACTTCGATGCAACAACCGTGAATTTAAAAATTAGAATAAGTGTTGCCATCTAATATTTAAATTTCGAAAAGATATAAATTTTTATTTGACGAAATTTATAAAAGTAAAAATAATGAAAAGATCTGTCATCGCAATATTATTAATTGATTAAATAAATATTATAAATACTTTTAAAAGTGTTATAAATAAATGATTTTGAACTCAAAATCCGTAAACGATCAAACGAATGGCCGAAGATGAAATATGAATTGACCGAGAAGAACAATCTACATTTGAATCTGTTCTGCATTTATATAATTTATTAATTACGAATTATTCCATCCATCCGTCTGCAATTCTAAAGCGGGCAGGTCGATATGATTGGACCTGCTCAGGATGTTACGCAGCCCGCGCTTTGCTACGTTCAGTTTTATTTAAGGATACACTGGTAAACATTTATTATTCTACTCTTATATGGTTTTAACTTCCCAGCATTTTGCCTCGGCTTCAATTAAGTGGCATTCTCGAATGGGATCTCGAGATGGAGGGTGTTGTCCAAACACTCGCCTTTTTTTTCGGGAATGGGACACGAAGCGTCGTCGTACGGGACGTTGGCGGAATTTTTGTGTGGCTACCGATCTAGCAGGTTTATAAGTTTCTGTAATTCTTCTTTCAATTCATTACTGAAGAAATCCAAATCACGAGATTGCAAATTTTTCCATGCTCTGCAATATTGAAATTCTGCGTATTGAGACGAGTCCGATGGGGATATCACTTCCGTTTTACACCGTTTAATGAAAGGTTTTTCTGTACCCGACTTGATAAATTCGTTGTGTTACGTCTGCACGGTAAGTTCTTTCATTTAAAAAACGATAAAATTATTATAAACACCGATCATATTACCACACATTCGGGTATTAAATAATCTTAAACCGAATGCAATTTCTCGAATGTCAAAGATATCGGACCTCCCGTTTCAGAAATCGAACAATTCATAATTAATAAATTACAAAAATGGAAAAAGGATTTAAACGTGGATTTTCCGGTCACTTAGTTTACATTTTACCACTGTTTGTGACTATTGGGTTCAAAATAATTATTTATTATGGTTTCGACAGAACTCATTTTTAACATTATTTCAATGAAAGATTATTTTTGAATTTCAGACCCATAAATTTTGAAAAAAGAAAAAGAAATTAAAAATTTTTNATAATATATTTAAAATGTATATGACCAAAATAAAGAAAAGAACAAGCGAAATAGAAATACAAAAACAAGAAGAAGCAATTAAAATGTTTATTTTAAATAATTACCCAAAATGTATAATAAAAAATTGGTTAGAAAAATTAGAAATGACAAACAACCAATTAAAGTGAATAAAGACAATGAATTTATTAAAGTAAGATATGTTTCAAACTTATTTGAAAGAATTATAAAAGTAATTAAAAATAGAATCATCTTAATACCGGAAAAAATAAATTTAACTAAAAACCAATTATGTTAGAGAAAAGAAAAAAAATATGATATAACAGAGGAAAAAGGAATAGTATATTCATTTGATTGTAATTGTAACCCTAAGANAAAACAAGAAGAAGAAGAAGTAATTAAAATGTTTATTTTAAATAATTACCCAAAATGTGTAATAAAAAATGGTTAGAAAAATTAGATAATGACAAACAACCAAAATCAATAGATAAAGAGAAAAATTTTATTAAATTAACATATGTTCCAAAATTATTTGAAAGAATTAAAAAAGTAATTAAAAATAGAATCAACTTAATACCGGAAAAAATAAATTCAACTAAAAAACAATTATGTTACAGAAAAGAAGAAAAATATTATATAACAGAGGAAAAAGGAATAGTATATTCATTTGATTGTAATTGTAATCCAAGGAAAACATATATAGGAGAAACTAAAAGAAAATTAAAAATTAGATTAAGTGAACATATCAGAGCAATCAAAGGAAAATATGCAAATTCGGCAGTATCGGAACATTGTAATTCGAAAGGTTGTACAATAGATATAAATACGGTAAAAATTAGAAAAAAAAATAATTATAAAAGACAACTGTACGGGCATTTAAATATAATTAGGCAAACTAATAAAATGAATAATAACAGCGGTAGAGAGATTCACCAATCATGGTTAAGTATTACAAAAAGGAGGGAGGAGGAAGTGTAAAAGATGAAACAGGAAGGTATTGAAAACAAAATTAAGTAGATACGAACGAATTAAAAAAAGTAAGTGAATTGAAATAATAATTCAGATAATAATTACATTTATTGTTTTAAACTGATTTTAAAGTTAAAAATTAGGATATGTAAAATCGTATGGTTGTTGTTGATCGTAAGTGTAAGTGGAAATATAACGAAGATCGAAAAAACGAAAGTTGTAAGAGTTTTAAATATTTATTGTCGAGAAATGTCTGTGTTTTTAGTTGATTGTACTGTAAAATATTTTTATTATTGTTAATTATAGAAAGTGTCGTTTAATGGCCTGCTCAGGAGGGAGGAACAAGTCCGAAACACATGTTTGAGGTGTATGTGTTCAGGTGAACTAAAAAAAAAAAACATTATTTTTGAACTGTAAGACTAAGTATCTGCATCCATAATTCCGGTATAATAAGTCCTGTTAATATATAGAATGTAGTAGTATACAAAATATATTATAAATAGTGACGCTTATAATCCTTATAAAATAAGAAACTAATCGCACGGCTTCCTTTAGAATATTGTTGTAAATTGCGAAAGATCCTAACTGGTTTTTTTTTTAAATTTGGCACGATAGGAATATCCCACTCCGGATCAGCTATATGGACCAGAAAAATTTGAGCGGTTTATCTCTGTAACTCGTCACGAAGCTTCTTGCGAATAAGAGAGGAACGTGTTTGGGTACGAATAATGCTAGTAAATAATTCAAAGTATACTTAACACTATTCAAGTGCACTTAACACTATTTTTTCAATACATATGGTATTATTTCATAATGGTGTCAAATGGATTTTATTTGATGTGGTAGATTTCAGAGAGTGGAATCTTTAAAGTCGCTTGTAGTTTTGGGTTTTCAATTCTTAATTCGTGTAATTTTATATTTTGTTAATACTCGAAAAGTGAAATTTATCGAATTCGACTTGCAAGATTTGGCAGTTTACAAACACTACTAAACTGTCGGTCATAAATCGCAGATACATTAGGCTCGGCCATTAAACACGTCATTCATTTTCTATAAGTTTTACGTCTTCAGAATGGAGACATATTGAGCAGTATCTTTTGCAGCGTTATCGCCTTTGTATTTGCATGAATGTCGGGCTCAAATAGAATGTTTGTTGCTTTCAGCGCCAAGAGCTCAATAGTGGTAATATTTGATACTACTTTTTAAAGAATTGTTTTTAGCTCTACTAAATCTCGCATTAAAGTAAACATGGTTGCATTTAAAACCCTAAAGATTTGTCAAGATGGCGTTGGATAATAATACTTTATTCCTTTAGTATTAATGTAAGTTTAAGATATTATTATCGATATTTCGAATTTCTTTACAATATATTGAATATCGTTTTGCAGATGGCCTACATTTGGAAGACTCGCCATAATTGCATCAATGTTAACAGGGATTATCATGTATATAGCTGATGTAGTTTCGAACAGATATTACATNAATTTAATATCTAACATTAACACGCCAATAGAGTCTGGACACGAATATGAGTGTTGCAATTAATGACGTCATTTTAATAATTCAAAAAATTCTCCATGAAATTTACTTACAGAATCAAAACTTCATACGGAGACTATAATATTGCCGAGGCTCGCTCTTCTCACCGTGCCATTCATGGGTTAGAGGTTAGCGGCTTCGCCTATCGAGCGAAGTTTTCCGGTTTAAATCTCATCGATGCAGGTTCTATTTTTTTTTTTTTTTTGTGGGTACGTTCTTTCAGTCTGAGACCATATGTAAATACTAACAAATTACCATGTTTCTACCATGCCTCTGTAGGATATAACAGCCAGCTCTCAAGCTTCGAGGGGGGTCTTGTCTTGTACTGCAAGCTCCAGGAGTTGTACATTGCTTTAGTTAATAAATACCTTTGTGTTCCTAACGACTGATTGTGACAATCCATATAGTCAAATGGCTCCTACCAGTGGCTAATTCGTTGAAAGAGTTGTACGATATTTTTGTGTAATATTTCTCCAGAGATTGGTCTTCCGTAAAGCGCATGGGCCAATGTCTATAATCTGACTGCTTTACACCATTCAAATATTATCGCCGTGGAAACTGTTCCGTATTCGAAAATACGGCATTTTCATTGAGAATACGCTACACGAATTGATATTTAAATATACAAGAGCAATCTACTTTTTCATGCCTTCATATATTTTCAATAAAATACATAATGCGGTCATAATAAAATATTAATTTTAAGCAATTGAAAGTACTATAAGTTAAGATATGAAAATAAATTTTGTAGTATATTCAGGATTAATGTATGTGTTTCATCGCCTTACATTTCTGACGCTGTTATTTTTTTCACTTGAGTAATTTCGGGTTTGTCTCGTTTGTAATTGGTAAATAAGTACATTTTATATATGTGTACAGATGCATTCCACGTACCTAGGAGCGACCTGTTATATCACGGCTATATATAATGTTTAATTACGGACCAATAGAGATCACTGTATGTGAAAGAAACAATCTCAAAAAAAATTGAAACACTTCACTAAAGCTGATCTTATCGATTTAGCATTATATCAGGGAATCAAATTACACAAATATAAATACATTTTTATCTGTTTTATGAAAATAAATTGTGGAATTCTTACCTGTCAACAATATATAATAACAGTGACATTAAGATGGAAAGTTGCACCAACACACTCATGAACCATATTATGTCGATAAACACCTGAAATTTTTTTTATAAAATAGACGAATTAAAAACTGATAATATTTTATTCGATTTATCTACGAATGTATCATACACACAAATACAAGTAATATGTATAAATGCATTCACAGTCTTGCAGAAATAATAAAAGTTTACATTGATGTATTTTTATACTGTAAACCGCATTTATTAAAGCCATTTCTTTCAATTACTCTGCACTATTTTCACTATTTTTAAATTAAAATTTATTTAAATAAAATTTCCTTTTTAAACGTCCTTCATTACACTTTTTTACCTTTATAGAAAAATAATAATAATCTATGGAATAAGATAAAATGAATTTCAGATGTCATTTATTTTTCTGCACATTACAATTTAATATAATTAATAATAACTCGTAAATTCCACTATTAAACCAAGACTTTTTCTAAACGAATCTTTATGTAACCATTAAACTGACCAAAAATCTTGGTGGTTCAATAATACTGCTTTCTTTTTACATAATATCGTGATATCCTGATTTAATATCTTTTATGAGACGTCTAAACAGTGCTTATTTCATTAACGTGCAAAAAAACACGAACTGCAGAAGCAACAGAAACTTTTAATAGAGATAAGCTGGCTTTGACGGCCGGATTGCCGAGTGAACAAGGTGGCAGCCTACCGCTCTGGGGCCTACTTTAAGAGCGCTGTTAGTGCTCACAGAAAATCAAAAAAATACGCTGGTGTTGATCTGCACTGCAATTGATTATCGAAAAATTAATTTGTTAAAATGATTTCGTAAAGGACGTATTTATTTATAAAGNGTCTAAATAGTGCTTATTTCATTAACGTACAACAAAAACACAGGAATTGCAGAAGCAACAGCAACCTTTACTAGAGATAAGCTGGCTTTGATGGCCGGATGGCCGAGCGAACAAGGTGGCGGCCTAACGCTCTGGGTTCTACTTTAAGAGCCCCCTTAGTGCTCACAGGGCGGAAAGAGTTAAGAAGAAAAACAAAAAAGATACGCTGGTGTTGATCTGCACTGCAATTGATTATCGAAAAATTAATTTGTTAAAATGATTTCGTAAAGGACGTATTTATTTATAAAAACTTTTAAAAATGAAATATAAAAGTTAACTTTAAATGAAACAAATTAAAACGGAATTTTAGACATGTTTTGTGTAACCGAAAACCACATTTATAGGTCTACTGAAATTTTCCACTGATAAGAGTTGCAAAATTGATAGCGAGTTGTTTCTTTTAACAAACAATTGACATTACGAATAGTCAAATGGAAAACGTACTAAACAAAACGTAGTTATATAACAGTTTAAAGTGAAGAAAAGTTCACAGATCTTTCAAATTACCTTATATGTTAAACATTAAAAACATTTGTGTATGAACGATAAAGAGCAATAACGATATCAAATGCGTTGGTTCGTTCAAAACAGTTTGAGCGAATGCAAATTTTTACGTAATCAATGTCTAAAACTTAAATCAGAAACCAAACTTTAACTTATATATATTTACCGTCGATCCACCGATTAAGTAGATATGAATATGAGTGATATATTTCCACCATTCGTTTTCCATGTGTTTTGCCTGACTAATAATAATATCCCAATGAGGACCTTCTCCAAGAAGAGGCAGAAGAATTGCGAAGCCCAGAACGAAAAATATCGGAAGTGTATATCTGCAACACGAACAGAATATAATACAAGAAGCAGTGACAGTAAGAGTTAAATATTTTACCTGATAACTCGCTTGACTAAAAACATGATATAGTATTTCGCTGAGTTTCGTCCACTCTTTTGTCTCAGATACATTACCATAAACCCGCTGGTAAAAACATTATTCATTATTAATTTTAAAGCAAAAGTATTTTTGTAAAAAATCTATAAATGTTACTATTATTATTATGATAGAACTGTATCTTCGATAATCGTATTTATATGTAACATTTAAATTAAAATGATCTTACTTGCAGAAGAAGAATGATTCCATTATAGTGAAACCTTGGAGAATAATTTCATATAAAAGAAGATCCACATGCTTGAAGATATTTGTATATTTATCTTAATTGACGATCTACTGTAATAATAAATAATATAAAATTAGTATACCTTTCCAAATGTGACCTGCTTCTTCTTCCTTAATATATCTCCAATTAAAGCACCGAAACAATAAGTACCAAGATGAGAATAATATGGTTTAATGTAATTATAAGCAAGATATTTATAGGTTTCCCTAAAATAACGAATAAAAATATAAATATGCTTATAAAAATATAAATATGTTTATTTTACTAACAACCATCTATTATCAAATAAGAAATAAGTTAAAAGTTTATACTCAAAAGCTGCAGGTATTCCAATCATCATGTAATATCTGTTCGAAACAACATCAACTATATACATGATAATCCCTGTTAACATTGATGCAATTATGGCGAGTCTTCCAAATGTNAAACAATAGATAAATATAAAAAATATTTTGTATGAAATATGAGTTTTATTAATTGAATAAATAAAATATGTATTAACTAGCTGTACCTGCAGTTTCGCTTGCGCGGTTTTTGTAATTTGATAGAAATTTTATACAAAAACTAAGGAAATTGAACAGGATTAGGTAAACACCAGTGGATTTTTAGTCGATTGCTTCGTTACATTTCGGAGTTTCTCAAAATCGAATTAAAAAAGCATAAGTGTATAAAGGCATCATTCGATACTCGAATATATTCGTTTATCCTTTATAACGCTGAATAAATAATATTTTAGAAGTAACTTTAGTTAATTAAATAATCCACATATTTTCAAATAAAGCAATTTCAATTATTTTACTGAATCATCCTCCTCTCAGCAATCCAAAATGCTTATTCTGTAATGTAATCGAGTAAAATTTGCAAGATAAAATCATGAGTGATTTTATCTTGCAAATTTTTTAACACAAGATAGAATTCGTATGAAAAAGAATAATTTGTTTCTTCTTAAAAATACTTTTTTCTTTGTTATCAGAATTTTTTTCATTTAATTTTTAAACGTTCTTCTTCACTTTTTAACGTTTCGAGTCCATCTTGATTTACTTCTGATCAAACTTTCACCGAAAACGTCCTTAAATTTCATATTCTTTTGTTTATCGCAAATAGTGATTTCCATCCATGTCATACACAAAAAAAGATAACAGTAATTTGCTATTCATTGCTCTTATTTTTCCAAATTTTATCTGTTTCTTTTACATTTATCGTAGCTTTGGCCAATCTAATTATTAGTTTTCTGCATCAAGGATACGATCGATTATCTGCCAGAAATAATCAGTGTAAATTTTTATTTTCAATTATCATTAACTAAGTGGAGAACTTTCTCGGTAAGAAAATTTTCTCCTTTTATTCAGCTAGAAAAAGTGTTTTGGAAAGAGTAGCGAACACCTAGAAAAATAACTTACATTGTATATTTTCAAACGATTAATTTAAATTTATAACGTAATTCGTTATTAAATTTATATAAAAGATTGTAATTTTTTCGGGACATACCGTTACCAGTATTTGGTACGGTAGTTTTTCATGTGCTTCTGCTGCAACATACACGTCTTGTTTTTCAATATTAAATTTTAGTTTGTATCTTAGTTTCAGATGTGCAGTAAACAAATTAAAAAAAAAAAAGTTTCCACGTGGTTTTGCTTTCTTCGCTTGAACAAAGTTTTTATCCATGTTTTTACATTCTGTCGCTGAATTTAGCAAAGCGATTTCAGAAATGAACATAAGCGTATCACCAATACGGAAGCGTAACTTTACAGAAGATTTGGAGGTAGAAAATAGACAATTTGAACGAATAAAAAAAATCGTCAGAAAAATTATCCTTCTTGTCACACATACAATGTGTTATTGTACATATGATAAGAAGGTTTTCATGCTTTGCCGTTCGTCAACGAATGGCATGGCATTGTGCAGTATTACAGAATACGATTTCCCAAATTTCATAGAATAATTTCGCCTAATTATGGAGAAATTACTATATCGCTCCAGCGGACAGTTATTCTATTTTTTATTGCGAAATGTGTAAAGTTTCCTGTGACAGAAGATCGAGATGTTCTGTAAATATTTTTCGTTATATCGTACTGTAGTTGCCAAGTCAAATAAAATGAGATACAACCCGAAGGACCAATAATGAATACAGTGAGACTATAATATAGCGCTTTATGCCTTTATCATCTCAAGATTCGGATCAAACTATAGTAATTATACAAGAAGTTTTAATAAGATTAAAACGCTGTTTTTAATTAGTGAATAAAAATAAAGATCTGATTATATTTATCAGCATCTGTTAGAGATAAGTAAAAGTTCTTTTTATAAATATTTCCGACAATTGGAAAAGTCTAAACTAAAAGCATATGATATACAAAACATAAAAATTTGAACCTCAGATGCATGAATATTGCAAACGACACCTGGAACAGCCTGAAAAAGTTCATCCAAGAATAATATATAAGAGAGTGTGTGTGACAAAAGGGTAATTGCCCATATTGTAAATTCAGCAGTTTTCTACATTACTGTATACTTTAGATAACGCAGGAATAAATGTGCACACCCACCGACATCATGAGTATTACGAAGGTAGAAATCCGACCATCGCATTTGTACCTCAAATCGAATACTTTCTATTCCTACGAACGTATTACCAAAATTATCTTTAAAAACGGATAACCTAAAATTTCATCACTCTGACATCGTTACGTAAAACTTGACCAAGCAGTTTATAAATTACAAATTCTTAATACCGTACTCATCGCAGATTGATCCTTTAAAGGAAAACTTCACTGTTTTTAAAAGCACATCTTACAATCTCATACTAAAACTACAACTAATGAGTTGCCGCGTATTATCTATGCAACGAAGTCGATCACTGAACTCTATTGTTTTTACTGTCGATACTCTCGACGCATACCAATTTGACCCACTAGAGGGACCTACCCAATAACCAAAACAAAAGGTTTTATGACCCTTTGTCTTAACCTGTTCCTTTGTTAGAACTACTGTCTGTCGACACGTGCGGACGTTCGTCCTACTGCTATGTAAAGACTCTTGTACTATAATTCATAGATTAAAGGAAGATACCTTAACCAGTTTAATATGTTTTCATCTGAGTGTCTCTCCACTGATTCTGAATTAACCACATTTACCTGTTTGTCAAGGTAATTAATATAATGCGTTAGCGTTAGTATAACATTATCGAACACTAATTGGAAATATCTTATTTCCGACAAAGTAAACAAAAATCAGTTTATGTAATGTACGACTGCTTTTATGTAAGCGAAACACTAAATTTTCAAATTGGGACTAATAAAAAATAAAACACAGTTTGATGTAGCAGCTAGTAATATGATAATTTACCTCTTAACTTATTTTTACAAATTGAATAACGCCGCATCTATTCTGGTGAAAAAAATAACTATCATCGCGCACACACACACACAATAATTATTGTGTTCGTAACACAATAAAAAACAGGTTTAAGCTAGAAATATATTATTTCATAATACGATACACTGTCTGGTAAAAAACGTAATTGAAAGTGATAATATAATTACATTTTGCATATTAACTATGATAATGAACTAATTGAACAATATTTATTTATTTACTTAAACCAAACGATTCTATGGCCATTGATCTTTTTCAAAAGTCCAAAAAAACAAAAGATACATATACAATATAGATTATGAAATTAATAAAAAAAAACAGAAAAAATATTAAAAACAAAACTACACACAACTATAGAACAATAAAACAATTAAAATTGTGTACGGTGGCAAGCCTTTAGTAAACACTGGAATAAATATTTATAATTATTAAATATTTAATCTTACATTAAAAGAAACAATACCTCCAAATGTGGGGTAAAATAATCCTATTATGCATACATGTCCCAACACCACAATATTTACTAGAAGAAATTTTACACCGCACATCCACTTTGTACTTTCGTCAAGATTCGTCGAATATAATTTATGTAGAGATTTATAAGGAGAAGCTCCGAGAATATACTCAAAAAATCTACCTAAAAATAACAAACATTAATAAATTATTATTTAGGTGCAATTAACTGATAAAAAATATATTTATTTTAAAATTATTATAATGAACTATTCATACTATATTCGAAAATAAGAGCATTCGAGATCATTTTCCTTAATGTTAAGATAATAATAAAAGAAAAATTCTTATCCTTCAGTATGTTAAAAGTATGTTTTGATAATCTTAAAGACTTACCTTTACTCGCCTTCAAAGGAATAATGTGAAGTCTCATTAATATTTCTATTAACGTTGCCAATGCTACCCATGCAATAAATATGCCGAGAACAATTCTAAATTAAGGCAATTAATATTTTTACGTCAATTTACTTAAATATAATTTATATCATTTAACAATCACTTAAGAGCTATATTAAAATTGTATTATTTATAAATACTGTACCCTAAATACTTGCTTAAAGAGAACTTTTTACTTGTGAAGCTTCGGACTTTAGTTGAGGTTAGTTTATAGGAAGAGAGCTGTTGTGAGACGTAGCCCATGTAGGAAAATAAGGAAAGAAGAAAAGGAGGGAGTAAAAATTGAAAGTTGAAAGATTTGAAAAATGAGAAAAGGTAAGATAATTGACCCACATCGCAATGATTAAAATAATCTGACTCAAATATACAGTACAAAGTGCCATTTTGACTGATGGACAGTTATATATACAGAGATCGCATTGTTGATGCATATAGAACAATATATCACAGTAAAATTTAATAGCAGGGGGCATTGCGGCTTGGTGGCTTGTGACGACGTTGTTGACCTAGTAGTTCGTCGTTACGGGTTGTTGCTTGGGGAGAGTAGGCCACACTTCTCGGAAAATGTGCAGAGTGGTTTCAAGCTCCGAATCGCTATCAAAATTTGTTTCACAGAAGTTCTACATCTAAATCACCAAAAATCATTAAACAATTCCTACGGTATTTAAAGATAAAAAATGATGGGAACAGACAAACATTTAAGTCTTATCGGTATTGAAATTTAATGTCAAATCGAACGTTGACGTCTACCTTTTCGAAGTTATGAGCTGATACCGAATTTTCCTTGAAAACAACAACGAGTTAATTAATTTACATCTAATTTTGTACTTTATAAATATATATAGTGATTTAAAATTGATATTTATATATTTCAATAAAGTTGAATATTTTAATAATATTTATTTACTCTTTGTTTTAAATATGTTGTGTATATGTAAAAATCGTGTAAACATTTATAACCAAATCGGAGATTCTGTGTTGCGCCGAATTTGACAATAAGATCGATTATTTCAGGGAATCAACGACAGTCAAATATGTAGTAACGATTAATAATCTTAGGAAATCCATTACAGCAATATTAGAACAGTTGTAATGCGATCAAAACTGTATTGTAACACTTATCTTAGAATTTTGTTTTATCATCAATGATAATCTGTGTTGCACCCGTGTCGATAACAAATTGGTAAGAGGTGTACGATTTTCGACTTTCACGCATTTTGGCATAATTTAGCCGAGAGATTTTACAAACAAACATATTCGAATCTCTATTTCAGAAACAATTTGTTCGAAAACGAACATATTCGAATCTCTATTTCAGAAACAATATTAGTATGCTGCTCTTGTGAGGACCCGAACAGGGGTCGACTGAGAGGTCCGAATTATGGGTTCGATCGAAAATAAAGAGCTCCTTTTCAGACGATAAGGAAACGGATTAGGTGTCTCGATTGAACAATGCAATTGGATTTTTTCGGAAAATTAGTTAATCAATGGAAACGGAGAAATTCGAGGAAAACGCGACGGAAGAGAGGATCATATTCAGTCGCTATGTTAACCTCTCCCGCGCCCTCCATTAGGTTTCGAATTGTCACCAGGTGACAATGGGAGACCAATGGAGAGGCGACTGCTGTAAAAAAATCTATAAATTTGTGCGACTCAAGAGACGAAGGTTCTTGGTTCGTTGTTTTTGGTTCTTGGTGGTTGGATACGTAGTGTGTCGTCTCCTGGACGGACGTGCTCCTGATCTTAGAAAAAAGGACATTTTGGAACATCGTGGAAGCATCGTTCTCTGGGTGCTCCTAGCAATCGACAGATTCGTCGGATCATCCGCGAGAAGCCGCCGAAAGCCGTAATCAACGCCCCGGGGCCCACCGAGTGTTTCACCAACAGCGTCCATCCACTAGTGACGAAAACCGACTTTTACGAACTTTATTTCGAACTTTATCCGTGCGCTTTGGGGTGCTACCTCGTCTAACAAGTAATTTGTAAGGAAAATTTCTACGTTTAATAAACGGTTATATGGTAAACCTGTCTCAGGAAGTCAGTCAGCGCCCACACGACAGAAAGAACCGCTCGGCTGTCGAACACCTCACCCCTAATCGACTAACCTCACACTCTCACAAAATTACTCATATTTATTAATAGTGTTAAGTATAAAGTGTAATGTGACAAATGTTTCGTGAGGTTTTGTAAATATATTTTACGGTATCATACTGTGAGCCCGCGGGTTTACAGGGCGTAAATTTTTGAGTTTAACATATTTTTACCTTAGAGGATGAAAAATTTTTATCACACGTTATAACGGAAATAGATCGGATGTCGAATCTTACACATCGTCTGTTTGTTAATTAGTCAACGGGCGCGTGATAATTAGTCAGAGTAACGAGTGATCGACCTGTTGGCTCAGTGCCAACGACGATCGTATAAAAACGATCGTCACGGGAAGTTCCGGGCGATCGTGCCTTCAGTGCGACCGTCCTCCGAGCGATCATCTGGAAGGTCTGAATACAGTGTCTCCCGTCCCGACCCTGTCCAAGGAGAAGCCGGTAAAAGATATAAGCCTGCGACAGACAGCCAGCTTCCATAGTCCAGGAAGATCGTCGCATACCGTCTCTCAACATAAGATATAATTGACCGCCAATATAACTCTCTTAATCTAAAGCCTGTGTAAACTCTCTCTCGAAACATAGTGAATAGTTAGAGCGATTATAGATATATTTGTATTTCCGCATCTAGGCAATAATCAGAAACTTGTATACTGCTGTAAATTACTTTAGTTATAGAATAAACATTTATTTTCTTATTTGATAAATCTGTCTCCTGTCAATCCGAGGAAACCTGTCAACTTACCGACGCACTCCCCACTCGATTTGTTTTCCTAGCCATCCGAACGACTCCGAGATCGGGCTTTACCAGCCTGTGCAGATTAAGTGGTCAGTACCAGATTAACCCCTGACCCACGTCTTATCTTACAATACCATGCAGTTCCGACTCAAGTAAAAAAAAATATACAATTGAAGGAACAGACAGTAAATTATCACTTATTTTATTCAGAAATTACATACAATCTATAAAGAATATAGGAAAATTCACAATCTAAATATATAAAATAAGCTGTTACCCGCGACTTCGTCCGCGAAAATTTTGCAAGAAAATCCCATTTATATTGAGTATTTCAACAATCACAGTAATTGTTATATAACACCTACCGCCGAGAATGATGAGAATCGCCGAGAATGAAACGAACTATTTTTAATTTCATTTATTTTCTGAAACGTTTACAATCGTTCTATAATCAAATCAAAATACAATAACAAATTTAAATTTAAAACGTTTCGAATATTTTTAAAATCGAAATAGATAAAAATATTTATAACAATGTCTAAAATGTTATTAATTTAATACTCCTAACTACTCGATAAAGACTAAATTCTCTCCCTCTCCCCCCGCGGGGGAATTTTTAAAAATCCCTTCTTAGTGTGCGTTTTCATGAAATACCCTAACTGTGTACCAAATTTTACGTTTTTAGGTTCAGCGGTTTGCTCTAGGCGATGATGAATTAGTCAGTGATTTATTCAGTCAGGACAGAAAATTTTAAATGTATAGATTACTTGTCCTGACTGACTGTCTGATGCACTCACTGATTCCACATCGCCCAGAGCAAAACGCTGAACCTAAAGAGGTAAAATTTTGTACACAGATAGGGAACGTCAAGAAAAAGCACACTAAGAAGGGATTTTTCGAAATTCCCCAGCTGGGAAAGAAAAAAGCATTAAGTCTTAACCCGAAAGAACTGCTTCTACCGTACTATTTTAGATGCGATTTTCTGTTTTTAACCACGTTTAGTTTTCATTGAGTACTTAGGTGTATTAAATTTAAGACATTGTTATAAAAATTTTTATATATTTCGATTTTTTAACCAAATGTTCGAACTGTTTTAAATTTGTTACTACGTATTAATTCGATTATTGAACGATTGTAAACGTTCCAGAAAATTGATCAAAATAAAATTAGCTTGTTTGATTCTCAGTAATTTTCATTATTAGCAGTAGGTGTTAGATAACAATTACTATGGTTGTTAACATACTGAATATAAATGGGGTTTGCTTGCAAAATCCTCGCGGGCGAAGTCGCAAGTAACAGCTAGTAATGGTATAAAAGTAAACGGTAAGTAACTTAATCATGCAATCAGAAAATAATAATTTGTTTAAGAGAAAATCGGAAGAAATGCTAAAATAACAATGAAGGATAGACGATTAGACAGTGTGGACGAACAACCGATGGAAGGTTTGAAAGATGTGTGAAATCGGAAATTGTACAGTTAAAGAAGCTGTTATAGAAAGCGAAAATCAAAACCATCAATGGGAATGTAAAAAGAAATCTCACACAATGTTTGGAAAGTTACCTCGTTTGAATCGGAAAATTGATGATTTCAAACCCATCAATGTAACATTTAAAGATTTTATGATATGAAATTTCTCCTTAAAAGAAGAGAAAAAAGTATACCAAACTACACATATTTACAATGTGCTGGAAAAGAATGCGAAAGGCTTTTTAGACGAAAAATTGTCCAGTGGCCAAATTTAGGAAAAAAAGCAAATTTGTTCTTAATTAACACTATAGATAAACGAAAAATCAGCATGATAAAAACATCTACAGTAGAGCGTCGATTATCCGAAAGTCAATCATCCGAAAGAATTCCAGTGGGCAAATTTAAAATTTCGCCAGTGATGTGGCGCTGCAATCTTTGACTATATCTTGGGCTACTCAAATATTTTACGTTTTTGATACTAAAGTAACTTCTGAAGTATAATTTTTTATTCTGTTTATATTTTTCAATATATTTATTTTGTTTGTACAAAATGAAAAATAATTTTAAACGACACAATACTCTTCGTTAGACTTAACATCGACGAAAATTCAACGCGAAGCGACGCGCAACGGAGAAAAATGTCAAGATAAGATAAATTAATATATTTTTTCGTGCATAATCGGTTATCCGAAACGTCGATTCCGAACAATCCCAGTCCCCAATTGATTCGGATAATCGACGCTCTACTGTATTAAGACATTCAAGTCGAATAAAGGTATTGAGTGAATGATAGAAAAAAAGTTTAGAGGTCGACCTATAACAAAAAATTGAGTTATAGTAAAAAACAGAACACATTACTTAAATTAATTAAAATATCTATAACCATAAGGCAGATAGTAGGAAGGGCTTATCACGCCAATGATAATGGGCACAAACGCTCAAGAACGCTTAATTTCTGTAATGACAATGTTACACTTATAGACTAATTTGCCTAGATCAGAATTGATATTTGTGCATGGGCCTTCATCTATTAAAAGTTAAAATAGATAAAATCAACAGTGACATATGTTGTCACCACTTGTGCGGCAGATGTGTAAGATAACACACCTCCTTTGTAACCGCTCCCTGCATCTTGTAGAAATGTCTGAACCTGCAACTTTGTTGTTCTACTGTTTTTGGTATGTACATAATTTAAACTGACTCTATAATACTAGTTCATAACTGTTAACCAATATTTCGGCTAATTCATAACTATTTTTGTATCAGCACCCATGTTACCATGCAACGTTAGGAAAAAATTTTAATCCTGTCTACAATTATAATGCTCACTGCTCATACAGTCATGACGATGGTATTATCTTTATATTGTATAGTTTTAAGCATAGTTTTGAGTTTAATTTTTTTAAAGTTGATATTTTTTCTCACCTTGTATAATTTTAAGTATATTAAGACTTCTCGCTATTACCAACTGATGAGGGACTAATTTTCCATTGGAGAATAGTCCTAAATGCATTTTGGATTTTTACGGTTTTTTATACGTATGTAATCATCTTATTGTACCGCTTTTTGTTTTATTAAATTTTTACTTTGATTCTTGAGCGTTTGTGCCCATTATCATGAGTGTGATAAGCCCTTCCTATTATCTGCCTTATGGTTATAGATATTTTAATTAATTTAATTATACTTAGGGCTTAAAGCAATTTCTGTACTGACAGTAGAACACATTACATTATTCTGTTCACCAATTCTTTGAATTAAAAGAAAAAAGTAGTAACAGTTGATGATTTAATTATACTAAAATACAGTCGATTCCCCTATAACGTGCGTTCCTATAACGACAATTCCTATAACGTACCGAAAAAATTGTAGCAACATTCGTATAAAGCATCTCCTAAAACGTCTTCGCCGACTCGTTTCGCGACAAGAATGATAGAGTCTGGACCAATAGTGGATGAGCAGCCGAACTACTTTCCTCCGACCCTGCGCAACGCTACAGAGCGGCTAAATTGAGTTTGTATCGTCTGTACAGTATTATATATAAATTATATATAAATTAGGTATTGTACATATAATTATATATAAATTAGGTACTGTATATATAATTATATATTNGCCGTCCGTAGCGCCACGCTACGGAGAGATTTCTATTGTCTGGACAGTATTATATAAATTATATATAAATTAGGTACTGTACATATAATTATATATTAATTATATATATATTAGGTACTGTATATATAATTATATATTAACTTATTGTAACTTTATTATAATTAAATATATAATTTCCGCCGTCTAGCGTGGCGCCACGCTATGGAGATTTTAGGCAATAAGATGAGTTAATTATCGTCTGTACAGTATGTAAATTAGGTACTGTAAGTCTAAGAGCCTGTACACAGTAGGCGTTTTTCAACGCGCGTTAAACGCGCGTTTTAAAGAACCAAATATTCTATGTAGCCGTACACACTCAAACACGCGTTTATAGATTTTTGTTAAAACGCGCGTTTTTCGGGCGTTAGCCGAGCGCTTTGAGATATATGTGCTGCCATGTTACTGTACATTCGATCGCGCGTTTTGCGGGCGTCAGCCGAGCGCTTTGAGATATATGTGCTGCCATGTTACCCTGTTACTATGTTTTCTGCAATTTATATATGTAACCCAATGTCAATGTTTGTAATCTATGTTTTGTATCCATGTATCCTACTGTTTTGTTTGAATTATATGCGTTGCAGGACGCCCATGAAATTCATGGGCTTAGGCTGGCTACTTTCCTCTTTCCTATCTTACTATGCTTCACCTTCAGTCTTACCCCCCTCTCAACTAACTTTAATCTTTCTTCCTTTTCTAGTCTACCCAGGGCTATACCTACTGGTCAGGCCCTTTCTCTCTGTCTGTCTGCCATGTTACCGTACATGCGATCGCGCGTTATCCCGGCGCTTTACGGGCGCTTCTAGATTTACGCTGCCATTTTGCTGTATATTCGATCGCGCGCTTTGGGTAATATCTACTTTTATAATATGGAGTAAGTCGTCAAATGATTTTATAAACATTCTAAAAGAATTTAAAAACTTGAATTTATTTTCTCTTAGTTTTGGATACAATGTCGCAAACATTTCATGCCTCAGTCTATCTCATAATATTGGGTGCACCCAAAATTCTCTTTGCCTCTGCCGTCGTCTTTTATAGCGACGATAGAAGAGCCACACACAAGCAATCACTTCCACATCCATTTCTAAACCGAGCCAGTGCGCACGCTCCGCTAAACGCTTGTCGAACGCCGAGCTAACGCGCGTTTAACGCGCATTAAAAACGCCTAGTGTGTGCACAGCCTAATACAGCACTAATTTTATACATTTCTTGTGAAAAAAAAACGCTTCTTATTCAACGGCCATAAAAATTATTTATATTAATGATGTCTCCAAAGGTCAAGTTATTTTTCTGCGATAAATTATTTATCAGATATCGCGGCCGCCGTTTCATGTGCTATTCCGCAACAAAGACAAGCTTTGAACAACGGCGTAGTCAAATGGTGCACACTCGGTAAGTAATCCTATAATTTTTTTATAGCATAGTTTATACAGATTATTTCTAAAAAATTATACGTGTTTTAAAAATGCTGAGTGGAATTAGTCTAGAATCGGTTAATTTTATAGAAGAAAACCTTTCAAACAGCCTTAGTCCGTAAAGTTCCCACCTATCAAGCTGCGATTGGCTCATGTATTTAATCATTCCTACAACGTAAAATTCGATTAGCGTGGAACGTATCTAAGCGTTATAGGAGGTCTACTGTATTTAAAACACATAAATCAAGATAAACAATGCGCATTCAAATAGAAAAAAATGTTTTCTTTAATATCATGTAATGTACTTTAGAATAAAATGGATTCGATTCGCTATTTTCGTTCTTAAATTTATTTTTGTCGTAAAATTATTGATTTAAATGGCCTATACAGTAGACCCCCCTATAACGCTTAGATACGTTCCACGCTAATCGAATTTTACGTTGTAGGAATGATTAAATACATGAGCCAATCGCAGCCCGATAGGTGGGAACCTTACGGACTAAGGCTGTTCGAAAGGTTTTCTTCTATAAAATTAACTGATTCTAGACTAATTCCACTCAACATTTCCAAAACACGTATAAATTTTTGGGAATAATCCGTATAAACTATGCTATAAACAAAAAATTATAGGATTACTTACCGAGTGTGAACCGTTCGACTACGCCGTTGCTTAAAGCCGGTTTTCGTCGCGGAACAGCACATGAAACGGCGGCCGCGATTTCTAATAACGAATTTTTCGCAGAAAAATGACTATCCTTTGGAGACATCATTAATATAAATAATTTTTATGGCCGTTGAATAAGAAGTGTTTCTTTCACAAGAAATGTATAAAATTAGTGCTGTATTAGACTTACGGTACCTAATTTACATACTGTACAGACGATAATAAACTCAACTTACTAGCCTAAAATCTCCGTAGCGTGTTGCCAGGCGGCAGAAAGCATATATATAATTATAATAAAGTTACAATAAATTAAGTTAATATATAATTATATATACAGTACCTAATTTATATATAATTAATATATAATTATATGTACAGTACCTAATATATATATAATTTATATATAATACTGTACAGACGATAGCAAACTCGATTTAGCTACTCTGTAGCGTGGCGCAGGGTGGAGGAAAGTAGTTCGGCTACTCATCCACTATTGGTCCAGATTCTATCAATCTTGTCGCGAAACGACGTTATAGGAGGTACTTTATACGAATGTTGCTACAATTCTTTCGGTACGTTATAGGAATTGTCGTTATAGGAACGCGCGTTATAGGGGGGTCGACTGTAATCAATTTATTATCGCGTTTTTCACAAGAAATTTATCATTTATTTATATTTTCTATTGTATCGTTTATTTGCCTTAAGTAATTTGTAGCCATTTTCATAATTTTAATGTTTTTAATTTAATATAATCAGTTTAATAAAGCTTTACATCAACTAAAGCCGAAAAAAAATCAACCCGGCAAGCAGAAGTTGCGGGTTCGAGTCCCGCTTTGGGCCAATTCTTTTCTTTCAGTAATTCTTAAATTATTAATTATATTATAATTATTAAATGTGTAAAGAGATAGCGCCTAACTCTAATGCCAAATTGTCTAATAATTATTAGTATTATAGCCGTTTCTTGCCCGAAACTATTCGGCTTTGGTTGATGTAAAAATTTAAACGTATCGGGTGTAGTAAAAATGTTTCATTACTTCAATAAAAATATACTTACAACGATATCAATTGTCCGGTACTGTATTCAATGCGTTCATCTTTGATTTTGCAATATTCGACGTTAAAGTCTACCGCTGTCCCGAATACTGAAAAATAGTTCACTTTTTTTATATAGTACAATTGACTCTTGTTAATTCGATCTCGTTATCGTAAACTCTTTATGATTACTTTTTTTCTTTACCATAACGTAAAGAAAAAAAATTATTTTTAATTACCACTCAGTAATCAGAACATTTTAACAATTGTTTTTTCTGAATTTCGTATTTATATCGACGTTAAAGTACACAGTGTATATAAGCATATATATGCATTAATTTTACAAAGTTATCATGAATTATTATGCTTTCTTAAACTGATTTTGTTTTATTTAGGCAGAATATAATAGACACAATGGTTTAAGATTTCACGAGCAGTTGGATAATGCATGTTTGGATTTACAAAAGTATTTGATATAATTGTTTCTGTGAAAGACCGAAATTAGAGAATGTCGATATTCTTCGATGAATGTCGACACGTACAAACTACGTCGGTGAAAGAACAAATATTTAGTTATAATATTATACATTCGAACAATCGCCAGTGTATTCGTATGTCGAAAAGCATAGATAAGCTTTCGTGGAGAAACGACGTGGATAACCGACACCCGAGAAACCGATGTCGACAGAGAGGCTACAGTCTGTCGCCAAACTCTTTGTGAGTAGACAGAGGTAAGGAAAGATCGTATTTCTTTCCCCGGAAACGGTTTGGTGGAAACTGTCCACTTTGTCACTGGATGGCGTTTTTGTTCTTTTGATTCCGTGAGGTGGGAATCGGTTTGTCAGGTCGAGTGGTGGAGGATGAGTGGCGTCGTCGGTAAGGCGTCAGCGATATCCGAATAAAAGACACCGTTAACAGATCAGTTCGAAATCACGTAATAACATAATCAGTTCGTAATTTGTAAAGAAAAGTTACTTTCCATACATGAGATTTCTTTTCAAGAAATGTCGCAATGCGAGGTAGCTCAGCTCCTCTCTCATTGCAGAAAAGTGTTCCACGAAAAAATGTTGTTTTAAATCAAGAGACAATTCTGCAATTCAAAGTGCCAGAACAGTTTAAGTTGTTGCAATAAATAAGCTTGAATAACGATAGTCGCATAATTTATGTGTAAGTTTATTATTGTATTATTTTGTTTAATGATTTACAATGTACTGTTCGTTTACGGTTCAACAGTTTATTTTCATGCGCTGTTACTTAAGCATTCTCCTATTTTGACATATTAAAAAGTTGCAATTTTGTCTTAACGTAATAAAAATACTTTTATTTAACATTCACCATCAGCGCATTCCGAATGTCGACATTTGCCGATGTAAGTGAAAAATAATGATATTTAGCAAATATTTCATACATACACGAAACGACTATGTGAATACTGACATTCACAAAAAAATATCGACATTCTCCACATATCGGTCATTCACAATAACATTCACAATTCATAATTACAAAATATCAAACGACTTACTCCAATTCCCGATGTTTTTTAAGTCTTCATTACTACATGTACTCGGAATGCACACATCTAATCGTCTTTTTATTCTTGTATAGGATAACTCTGTTTTCAATAAGTCGTCAAACTTCATTGGTTTCTAAAAAATTCATTAATTCGTCGTATAAATAAATTTAACTGACAAATTACACTAAACTGTATTAATGCGTCGCAAAATTTTTTTTTAAAGTTTAATACTTACATGAAACTCTTTTGCTAGTTTAATCAATGAATTATTTTCGAACTTATGAATGTACTTTGCAATACGTTTAAGTGATTCTTGCATTCCAATTGTCAGGGCACAGTATTTGCCTCGAATCTGTTTGTTTCCTTTATCGGTAATTTCTTTTTTATTTTGTGGAATTTCAATGTCCAAACACTGGTCATAATCTCCCGATATCCATTGTCTAATTTCTAACATTCCTGCCGGTAATTTTCCAAAAGAATCAATCACTGAAAATAGCAAATACATACAATAAAAGTTATCTTTATATGTTACATGTCTGAACAAGTAAATCGAAACAAAAGAATTATAGCTTTTCGTAAAGACTCACAACACAGAAAGCCTTCGATACATGCGATTAATGCCTTCTTCAAAATCAGTGTTTTTCAACTTTCTTCAATACGCAACTATTGATTTTGATTAATTGAGAAATTTTCTAATAATTGGTTTATGTTCAGTATATTTATCCTGTTGATGTAAAAATTCTTTAATAACTTTTCAAGGTAAACCAGTCTTTCTTTGTAATTCATTTATACCACAGTAACCAGTTTCAGGATTATAATAAACTTCCGTGATCCAACTCATAAAAAAACAGATTTTTTAGTACCACAAACGGCACACGTTCCTTTTGCTACAGGTTTATTATTTTTTGTTCTTGTTCTATAATATTATTTGTTTTTATTTTTTTTTTACACTTTGAACAATAGATACTATTTATATTGGGAGAAATTCCAAGGTTGAATCTCTTTTTTTGCACTAATGATTGGTTTTATAACTGCTTTTGCTTTTTTTCTCCGAGAGGATAAAAAGCACTCGATGGGTGATCAATAAGATCTAATTCATTTAGCATTTTTTGATCTGATATATGTCTATCAGCTGTATTTTTTGATTTTCTATAAGCAATATCATGTTTTTTACGAACTTTATTTACTCTATTTATTCCAGGATCACCTTTTTCTAATCTTTTTTGCAATTTTGTAAATGTCATATTACTCCCTAAGTTTCCCTGGGGCAGTGTTTTTCGACCTTCTTGAATACGCGACCCCTTTACCAGTTAAAAAAATTCTGGCGACTCCCACAGGGCTATAATAAAACTATATCAGTAATTTTAAAAATTACGTATTTAATTTTCTTTCTGTTGAGACTAAATATTGATCGAAAAACCAATTGTACTTTAAAATAAAAACGCAAAGTCTTCTAAGTGAAATTGTAGTTTTATTTATTGTAGTGAAGGACCTACCAAGACTTGTCTTTTTCTTTTACCTTCGACCCCTCGTGTAAAGCTTTGCGACCCCCGTGGGCGTCGCGACCCACATGTTGAAAAACACTGCCCTAGGGTATGGACTGTATCTTAATGGATCATTAGAGTTGATCAGACTCTTTAACACTACCCCCGTTCAGTCTCTGAGACGGTTCCTTATTAGTCTGATTCCTTAAATAAATTTTATAATATATTGCTAACTTAGTAACTCCCCTGCGGATTACACAATCTCAAACGGTTTTACCGTTGGAGCCGGTCATTACCCTGGTTCTCTCTATATGTTTCCAAATAGAGATGGTAGTTGGAGCTGTAAGGGACTTCCTGCAACAAGAAATGTATTGCTAATCTTTTTTCAAGATTAACAGTGGCCCAATTGACCACAATATTGATATCCACGTATACGCATTTCAGGTAGATTCAAAAGTGAATCCACCTGAAATGCATATACCTGGATATCAATATTGTAAGCACCCAACACTACCATCACCTCTTTTATTCATTTATTTATTCAAAAATTTATATCTATTCAGTTGTACTTTCTTTATATATTTCTCTAACGGAAAATATTTCATATTTTTAATTAACTGTTCTTATCTCAAATACATGTTAGATTCTGATATGCTCTAGCTTTGAATAGATTAAATTACTGTTTATAAAATTTAAATACTTGCTTGTATTCCTCCTTTCTTTCCAATAGTTTTAACGATTTATCTGTAACTTCAATTATTCTGGCTTTCAAGCTTAATACTGCCAACGGAACTATAACAAACGCGGATAGACCTGAAGCACTAAATATAAATTTTCTAACTGTTAATTATTCACTGATTATATGATAATCATTATAACTTTTTCTGTAAATATATATTTTCTTTTCTAAGTATTTTTCCATTTATAAAGGAGTAAAATTACGTCGATAATTTATCTTTGGGTTTTTGAGATTCAGCATAAAGAAATCGTATGGTTTTTGAGTAGCGTTACTATATAAATTTTTACAAAATGATCCATATATTTCTCTAATTATATGTGTAATTTCTCTGTCTTGAATCTTGAAGAAAATAATATAATTACACTGTAATTATATTATTTTCTTTATTTACACTTTCTTCTCATGCTAATTGACGTTGAATAGTAGTATTAAGATACATAAATAATTGAAGCATTTTTCTTCCTCCCTCTGATAAAAAAATCTACAGTTTTTGATTGATCTTTTTCGGTAATACAAACATAAAAAATAATCAGATTTTTTATCGATGCATCTAAACTATCGACATCAATCATATGTGAGACCCGAAAGGCCCTGGGTAACATTTAATAATTTTTATTAATAATATTAAATTATCGACACCAAATATTACTTCATTTTTTGTGAAAACTAGTGTTTTGGATGTGGGAAAAACCCAGATAACAGATGCTACTTCCTTTCACAGAAGAGAACATCCTCTGACTTCCCCTTATCGGGTTAAAAATCTCACTCAGATGGGAAATGGTTACCCCTCATTCATCCCCCTTTTCGTCCGTTCTCATGAAAGAGTTACTGGCCGATGATTGGTCGAAATTCAGGAGATATAAGGGAATTTAGTCCGAATTCGGGGAGTTCGACGGGAAGTTCTTCGACAGATCCGAAGCGTCAAAACTCCACACAGTTCTCCTCTTGATGACCAACGCTCTTAAACGAGTCCCATAGACTAAGTTCCGAGTCTGAACTTAGTGAAGATACTTTTATATTTGTGCACGTATTGATTTCCTGTACGAAGAAGTAAATGAACTCTATCTACAAGGTGTCTCTTANCTTGTGCAATTCAAAGTGCCATAACAGTTTAAGTTGTTGCAATAAATAAGCTTGAATAACGATAGTCGCATAATTTATGTGTAAGTTTATTATTGTATTATTTTGTTTAATGATTTACAATGTACTGTTCGTTTACGGTTCAACAGTTTATTTTCATGCGCTGTTACTTAAGCATTCTCCTATTTTGACATATTAAAAAGTTGCAATTTTGTCTTAACGTAATAAAAATACTTTTATTTAACATTCACCATCAGCGCATTCCGAATGTCGACATTTGCCGATGTAAGTGAAAAATAATGATATTTAGCAAATATTTCGTACATACACGAAACGACTATGTGAATACTGACATTCACAAAAAAATATCGACATTCTCCACATATCGGTCATTCACAATAACATTCACAATTCATAATTACAAAATATCAAACGACTTACTCCAATTCCCAACGTTTTTTAAGTCTTCATTGTACTCGGAATGCACACATCCAATCGTCTTTTTATTCTTGTATAGGCTAACTGTGTTTTCAATAAGTCGTCAAACTTCATTGGTTTCTAAAAAATTCATTAATTCGTCGTATAAATAAATTTAACTGACAAATTACACTAAACTGTATTAATGCGTCGCAAATTTTTTTTTAAAGTTTAATACTTACATGAAACTCTTTTGCTAGTTTAATCAATGAATTATTTTCGAACTTATGAATCGACTTTGCAATACGTTTCAGTGATTCTTGCATTCCAATTGTCAGGGCACAGTATTTGCCTCGAATCTGTTTGTTTCCTTTATCGGTAATTTCTCTTTTATTTTGTGGAATTTCAATGTCCAAACACTGGTCATAATCTCCCGATATCCATTGTCTTATTTCTAACATTCCTGCCGGTAATTTTCCAAAAGAATCAATCACTGAAAATAGCAAATACATACAATAAAAGTTATCTTTATGTGTTACATGTCTGAACAAGTAAATCGAAACAAAAGAATTATAGCTTTTCGTAAAGACTCACAACACAGAAAGCCTTCGATACATGCGATTAATGCCTTCTTCAAAATCAGTGTTTTTCAACTTTCTTCAATACGCAACTATCGATTTTTATTAATTGAGAAATTTTCTAATAATTGGTTTATGTTCAGTATATTTATCCTGTTGATGTAAAAATTTTTTAATAACTTTTCTAGGTAAACCAGTCTTTCTTTGTAATTCATTTATACCACAGTAACCAGTTTCAGGATTATAATAAACTTCCGTGATCCAACTCATAAAAAAACAGATTTTTTAGTACCACAAACGGCACACGTTCCTTTTGCTACAGGTTTATTATTTTTTGTTCTTGGTCTATAATATTATTTGTTTTTATTTTTTTTTTACACTTTGAACAATAGATACTATTTATATTGGGAGAAATTCCAAGGTTGAATCTCTTTTTTGCACTAATGATTGGTTTTATAACTGCTTTTGCTTCTTTTCTCCGAGAGGATAAAAAGCACTCGATGGGTGATCAATAAGATCTAATTCATTTAGCATTTTTTGATCTGATATATGTCTATCAGCTGTATTTTTTGATTTTCTATAAGCAATATCATGTTTTTTACGAACTTTATTTACTCTATTTATTCCAGGATCACCTTTTTCTAATCTTTTTTGCAATTTTGTAAATGTCATATTACTCCCTAAGTTTCCCTGGGGCAGTGTTTTTCGACCTTCTTGAATACGCGACCCCTTTACCAGTTAAAAAAATTCTGGCGACTCCCACAGGGCTATAATAAAACTATATCAGTAATTTTAAAAATTACGTATTTAATTTTCTTTCTGTTGAGACTAAATATTGATCGAAAAACCAATTGTACTTTAAAATAAAAACGCAAAGTCTTCTAAGTGAAATTGTAGTTTTATTTATTGTAGTGAAGGACCTACCAAGACTTGTCTTTTTCTTTTACCTTCGACCCCTCGTGTAAAGCTTTGCGACCCCCGTGGGCGTCGCGACCCACATGTTGAAAAACACTGCCCTAGGGTATGGACTGTATCTTAATGGATCATTAGAGTTGATCAGACTCTTTAACACTACCCCCGTTCAGTCTCTGAGACGGTTCCTTATTAGTCTGATTCCTTAAATAAATTTTATAATATATTGCTAACTTAGTAACTCCCCTGCGGATTACACAATCTCAAACGGTTTTACCGTTGGAGCCGGTCATTACCCGGGTTCTCTCTATATGTTTCCAAATAGAGATGGTAGTTGGAGCTGTAAGGGACTTCCTGCAACAAGAAATGTATTGCTAATCTTTTTTCAAGATTAACAGTGGCCCAATTGACCACAATATTGATATCCACGTATACGCATTTCAGGTAGATTCAAAAGTGAATCCACCTGAAATGCATATACCTGGATATCAATATTGTAAGCACCCAACACTACCATCACCTCTTTTATTCATTTATTTATTCAAAAATTTATATCTATTCAGTTGTACTTTCTTTATATATTTCTCTAACGGAAAATATTTCATATTTTTAATTAACTGTTCTTATCTCAAATACATGTTAGATTCTGATATGCTCTAGCTTTGAATAGATTAAATAACTGTTTATAAAATTTAAATACTTGCTTGTATTCCTCCTTTCTTTCCAATAGTTTTAACGATTTATCTGTAACTTCAATTATTCTGGCTTTCAAGCTTAATACTGCTAACGGAACTATAACAAACGCGGATAGACCTGAAGCACTAAATATAAATTTTCTAACTGTTAATTATTCACTGATTATATGATAATCATTATAACTTTTTCTGTAAATATATATTTTCTTTTCTAAGTATTTTTCCATTTATAAAGGAGTAAAATTACGTCGATAATTTATCTTTGGGTTTTTGAGATTCAGCATAAAGAAATCGTATGGTTTTTGAGTAGCGTTACTATATAAATTTTTACAAAATGATCCATATATTTCTCTAATTATATGTGTAATTTCTCTGTCTTGAATCTTGAAGAAAATAATATAATTACACTGTAATTATATTATTTTCTTTATTTACACTTTCTTCTCATGCTAATTGACGTTGAATAGTAGTATTAAGATACATAAATAATTGAAGCATTTTTCTTCCTCCCTCTGATAAAAAAATCTACAGTTTTTGATTGATCTTTTTCGGTAATACAAACATAAAAAATAATCAGATTTTTTATCGATGCATCTAAACTATCGACATCAATCATATGTGAGACCCGAAAGGCCCTGGGTAACATTTAATAATTTTTATTAATAATATTAAATTATCGACACCAAATATTACTTCATTTTTTGTGAAAACTAGTGTTTTGGATGTGGGAAAAACCCAGATAACAGATGCTACTTCCTTTCACAGAAGAGAACATCCTCTGACTTCCCCTTATCGGGTTAAAAATCTCACTCAGATGGGAAATGGTTACCCCTCATTCATCCCCCTTTTCGTCCGTTCTCATGAAAGAGTTACTGGCCGATGATTGGTCGAAATTCAGGAGATATAAGGGAATTTAGACCGAATTCGGGGAGTTCGACGGGAAGTTCTTCGACAGATCCGAAGCGTCAAAACTCCACACAGTTCTCCTCTTGATGACCAACGCCCTTAAACGAGTCCCATAGACTAAGTTCCGAGTCTGAACTTAGTGAAGATACTTTTATATTTGTGCACGTATTGATTTCCTGTACGAAGAAGTAAATGAACTCTATCTACAAGGTGTCTCTTACCTACAGAGATGAAGACGAACGACGACAACTAAACAGGTCGTATGTTTTAGAATGATTTTGTGAGCTCTCTCTCTCGATCGCGCATCAGCATAGAATAAGTCTTTGCCTATATCTTGTCGCTTAATTGTCGTTCATCGATTATTTGTATTCGTTTTGTTTTTGAATTATTAAATTTACTCTTGTTAAATTTACTTAAATGTCTCTTTAATTGATTCCGAATCAGATCGCAAACGCGTGTTTGTCCGCGCAACGATAAATTGACAAACTGGTGTCAAGGAATCCTGACAAGGATCTGAACTTCACCGATTCAGATCTACTAGCGATTATCGCCCTCCTATATAAAACTTTTAAGATCGGATCTTACGATTCGAAACTTTAGAAGACTATTCTCACGGAATAGGCCGAGTAAGTGGCACCCTTTAGTAGGTACCCCCGGCTAATCTCACAAGTGGTCGCAGGAGTGGGGTTTTCGAACTAAAAAACACCCGTAATAGAATCTCACAAGTGGTGTCACGGGAGTGGAGTTTAGAATCTTTAGAATCCGTAGTATACTCGCACACTGGTGTAGCAGGAGTTTTGAACTTAAAAATAGAATCTCACCAGTGGTGTCCCAGCCGTAGGGTTTTCGAAACTACAAAAAAAAACCCCTAATAGACTCTCACAAGTGGTGTAGATCTGATTCGAAGAGAGAGACAACTAGTTGATAATTTGAAATAAGATAATTTTTAAGTTACTCATAAGATAGATATAAGTTAGGATGGAAAGACATAGGGAAGAACTTCCGCGAGCTACGTTAGCTGGTAATCTAATAACGTTAGGCGGATTAGGGGGAATGATCCCGTTGCTACCGGTCTTCTCAGGAGACGCAAAAGGTCCAAAAGTATCCGAATTTTTCGATACGTTAGCGGATGTGACTAGAGTAGCAGCATGGTCGAAGGCACAGATGCTGGCTGTAGCTAAATTAAAATTGACAGGCATTGCCCGGGAATTCGTGCGGAAGGACCGGCGAGTAAAGGACATAGAGAATTATGAGGAATTTAAGAAAATAATGATAGAGCGTTTTGAGAAGGTCCCATACACTTATAGAATCCAGAGGTTCTATGCATGTGTCCAGGCCAGAGATGAGGACGTACAAACGTTCGCCGTACGACTCCAGGCTTTAGCCGAGGAGGTTGAGATTGAACATGAAGGCGCGAACGATGCCGAGATAGAGGTGATCAAGAGGGTTAAGGAAAAGGAATTGGACGAGAGGTTAAGGGTTCAATTTCTGCATGGAGTCGATATAAAAATTAGACAACGGGTTATGTCTAAAAATCCGGAGGCCTTACAAGTAGCTATACGTGAAGAGGAAATTGAGTTACTCACTAAGGGAGGAAACACCCATATCAGAATTATAACAGAACCATGTAGAAGAGAAAACCTAGATACAGACGATGATTTAGCGGGAATAGAACCTAATGCCGAAAAACAATTAGAAAAAATGGCTGCGGCTATAAGCACACTGCGAAATCAATTTAATACTTTTATAAAACAATCGCAAGAGGAGAAAAATAGGAATAGAGAACGAAGCGCACAATACTCTTGACCTAAAGAGAGAAATTTTAACGGAAATCGGCGACCAAACCCTAACTTCCGTCGGGAGACGTATAGAAATAATTCCCGTTTTGATTTAGATAATATGAATAGGGACGAGCCTAATAGAAATCCTCGATATGAAAATACGTGGAGAGGTGTAGTAAAATTTGTGGGTAATCAGAGAAACCCACACAAATATGATAAGAAAGGCAAAAATAGCAAGGGAGGATCGAACAGTCTCATAAAAAAAGATCCTTACATATTAATATATGTTAATAATGTCCCTGTAAAAATGAGAATAGATAGAAATTTAGAAACGACCGTCATAGATAAGGAATTAGTAAAGCGATTAGAGGGAAGAGCCTTTGTAATCCGTGGAGAAAAGAACAAATTAGATATTCGTCCCGGAAAAACGATTCAGACATCAGGTGTTGTCATACCCTTATTCAAACTTCGAGGTCATAAATTCACAAATACTTGCAAGATAGTGCATTCTGAAATTACAGCGCCTGGCATGGGAATAATCGGACGTGACATATTACAGCAGGAGCAAATAGAAATAGATAATCATAATGGAGTGATTATACTGCCTAACGACAAGGAGGTACATTATTGCTACTCAAGTCCTCCAAACGGAAGTAGTTACCGAGGTAAAACGCAGAAATTCAGACAAAATCAAATGAATAGAAATCGTAAGGAAGTCGACTTGAAGTATTCAGAAGCTAGTGTATTACGCAGTGTGCGGGTGTCACCTCACTGCCGACCCCATAAACAAGAGGCACACATAACTAATCGAACAACTAAAAAGATACAAGGTATAATGAAAAGGAAGACAAATAAAAAGNATATAAATTAGGTACTGTACATATAATTATATATTAATTATATATAAATTAGGTACTGTATATATAATTATATATTAACTTAATTTATCGTAACTTTATTATAATTAAATATATATTTTTCGCTGTCTAGCGTCACGCTACAACGAGTTAGGCGACCTATCATCTGTCCAGTACAGTAATTTTATACATTTCTTGTGAAAGAAACATTTCTTATTTAACGGCCATAAAAATTATTTATATTAAAGATGTCTCCAAAGGTCAACGAAATTTCCGCAGAAAAACAATATCAGAAATCGCGGCAGCGGTTTGATGCGCTGTTCCGCGAAAAAACCAAGCTTTAGAAACGGGCGTAGTCGAACGGTACACACTCGGTAAGCAATCCTACAATTTTTTTGTTTATAACGTAGTTTATACGGATTATTTTCAAAAAAATATACGTATTTTGGAAATGTTGAATCGAATTAGTCTAGAATCGATTAATTTTATAAAAGAAAACCTTTCAAACAGCCGTAGTCCGTAAACTACGATTCCTACAAAATTGATTTATAAAGAACGGAACGTATCTACCGTCTTATAGGGGATCTACTGTACTACTCTATTCCAGAAATAAGAATTGATAAAGATGTGGCAGTAGTACACAATGTGGTAGTTAATATTGCATGTGCTAGGTAATGTGATAGTTAACATAATTCCTCTGGAATATGTCTTGCTTGATATATTGATATCTGTAAGTTCTTTTTATAATTTAATTGGATAGAACTTAAGATTATGTGCAATAAAAATTCTAATAGGATAAATACATATTGCAATAAATCCAGAGTACAATAAGTTACAATAATTTGGTATTTTAAAAGGAAGTTAAATTGAAAAAAATATATTTTTTTATATTATGCGAACCTAACTAGTGGGTTTGTGTGATGATTTAATAAATAATTCTAATTTTTTGTATATTTATCTCATAGTATATTAATATGTCAAAGGAAAGTAAACTGTAATTTAATATTTGAAAATTATATACTATATATTATCCGTTTTACTTCAATGAATGTAGCTTATTTAAAAATTTTTATGTTTTGTTAAGGTAATGCTGTTGAGTAGTGTACCTCAGAATGACAGAAAGTTCAGAGAGGTTATAATTAGTTTAATATTAGTTATTTTTCATTAACATATGTCATTTTCTGGAGCTTTTTTACAGAAAAACTGGTTCATGTTAGCCACTTTTAAATTGTTGTTTAAAAATTTCTGTGAAGAAAACTTTCTTCCTATCGTAAACAT